TAAATGGAAAAGCCTCGTCACACACCCACGTCTGGCCAGCATTACAATGAACAGAGCTAGAGGAGAGAACAAAAAGCTTCCTACTAACCGGCATCTGTGATCTCTGGATGCCTGCGCTGAAGATGGCCTTGCAGAAAGGAATAGTTGACGAAAGACTTGTCACAGAATTGGCACTGAAAGGGAATACATGACACTATTAGTATAAGTGTTCCAGAAGTAAAGAAACAAAATATCGTTTTTATTTACTTTCTACCGAGGCTCAGCTGACTTAGCATACTAAATCCCCCATGACACATACAGAAAATGTTTACTGGAACTGGTAAGAATGCAGCAACAGTAGAGCACAATTTAAACAATGTGTAGAGCACAATGTATTGAAGACCAACAGTATAATGTTAACACAACCCTTAAAAACAAAGACAATTTGTGCTTTTGAATGAAAAAGAAAAGAAGTATCTAAAATCATATTTTGCCTTAGTGAACAGGACAAAGTAAGACAGACCTAAACACATGAGTGCCAAAGAACAAAGGGGTGGGATGTATTTTACACTTGTAAAGTGGAATACAGTGCAGCACCCTCATAATGAACGACTCCCTGCTTAGCAGAACCTGTTCACTAGCACTCTGCTCTCATGAAGAAAACACAGAAAACCTCTACCCCTTCAACCTCGTTAAACAACATATTAGAGCTACAAGTTCAGTGCCTGGTAAGCACTCAAAAGTAGATTCTTCAGTATATCATAATGATTTTAAGTAAAATACTGCTTTTTCAACTCAACAAAGAACACATGTCAAGACCAAGGAAGGGGATACTAAAGTAAGTTCTGTATTTTAATTCTATATACCTTATTTCCATTCTTTTTTAATGTGCTATCCTGATTTTTCCACTGTACTTATTTGCAGCTATTTTTTCTTATTTTCATTTACATGACAAAACCTTAGAGACCTTACAGCGTAGGGGTCCTCTTTTAACTAAGGAACATTAGGCAGTCTAGAAAGGCAGGACTGAAATAAGGAGCGCTGAAAAAGTATGAAAAAATATCAATTTTTCTCCCAGCCTCACGCCGCGCAGATCCTCACCTTGTGGTAGTTGTTGGCCCCGGCCTGTAAGAGGAGCTGCTGGGTGGCGATCATCTTCTTCCGCCGCCGGCCCTCCTGCCGCGCGGCCTGCAGCTCGGCCTCCAAGCGGGCCAGCTCTTTTCCTTCCCGCTCTCGCCCGGACAGCTCCCCCTGCAGGCGGTCCTCCAGCCCCGCCACCTGGGCGCTCAGGAAGTCCTGGCAGTGCAGCAGGTACTCGGTGCTCAGCTGGGACATGCGCAGCACCTTCAGCAGGACGGGGTCCACCGGATTGCGGCAGTGGGGGCAGCGCTCGGCCTCCAGGTCGCAGAAGGTGACGGTGCCGATGTACTCCTGGAGGGTGCCCACGTCCATCTCCCTGGCCACCCGTTCCACATCCAGGGCGCTGAAGCGCCTCCAGTCCATGCCCTCTCTCCGCGCCCGGAAGCGGAAGGGCTGCAGGGGGCCAGGGCTCCAGGGGGTAGACGGGGGTTCGCTGCAGGAGAGCTGGCCAGGCATCTTGCAGGGCCCAGGGGAGAACAGGGGCAGGGGGTAGAAGTGATTTCTGTGGAAAGGCTTGAGGGGGGAGAAGGAGGGGAAAGACTCCCCTTAATGACTCGGCTGGGATCTCGTTGTGCTGAAGGACCCTACTGTATATCAGGCTCAAAAAGTGCAAGATTTTAAAGACTCTAAAATTTGGTAACAGATAACAAAAACCAGTAACAAGCAGCAAAATAAAAATGAGAAAAGTCTCTCTTTCTTAAATGCTGATAAGAACAACATTGATATGCGATTATGTCTCTTTCGCATTGAATTATTTCAGTAAACAGGCAACGCAACCCTAAGAATCCTATCCATTTGAAAACAAATACTGTTGTGTTAAATAAGTATTTTTTTAAAGTCACAAATACTGCGACCTTTTCATAACTTAGAATCCTCGATTATTTTTCTTCTCATACACCAGTGGCACTGTCCCAGAAGTACCCAGCTTACACTAGGAAGTAAGACAAGTATTAATAGTAGCCCATCTGAAGCGCTGTCAGACGAAAAGATTTCACTTAAAAAGTGAGCATGAAAACTACCAGTGAAGACCTGGGGTGACCTGAGCTGGAGGCCAGATACAGCTTTCAGACATCCATCTGGCTGGCTGTAGCCGAGCAGAGTCAAGAAACCAGGCCCACCCTGACCCACTTAAATTGACTCAAAAATGACATAAATGATAGATAACACAAGGTAGCACACCTACCATCTCTCCCCAGCAAGGCACTTCAAACGAACAAATGAACAACCCCTGAAGCAGGTTTGATGGTGATTGTAAGTGGATTGCATGAAAATAAATCACATTAAAAAAATGATCAAATGTTTATGTCCTCCTTCTTTAAAACGTGTCCTGCAAACATTCTAGTACAATAAGATTTTGTAGACTCAAAATAATAACCATAGCTTTTTTAATACAGCATGGAGTTATCTTCCTTTTAGTCCTTGCCACTGAGAAGAAACCAAGTTAATTAAGAAATTATTTTAAGAATAGATCCATGATCATAGGATGTAAGTAGCATTAAGTATCGAATCTTCCCCCCCAAAAAACAAAAATGCGTTCTCTTGTTAAAAACAGAAAACTAAGATCTTCTGGTTAAAAGACATCGTGTCCTGTCCTTTGAATACAGATTCCAAAGGGGATAACTCTCCTTGCTCTGAAGGAATAACATGGACGCCCCAAACACAATTGTATTGTATATGGCTGCTAGGAACTCTGCATACAAACGTCAAGAACAAATGGAAGTCTGGGTAAGCCTTTTAAAGAATAGCATGAAGCCAGTAATGTCCTTTGCAATGTTATGCAAACAGTTACTTAACAACGAGGTCGATTAGTTTTCTGTCTGAGGTTTCCCACAAAGGTATTTGTCAGTGGTTGACCAGGAGATAAATGCTGGTTTGACAAGACTACTTGCTTGACACCTTTGTAGCACACAGCATGTGAATGTTAACTTCTTCTTCTGCGCAATTCAACACAAACTGTTCAAAGTATGAAAATGGATATAGAGATTTCTTATATTTGCCATGGGAGAATTTAGAAGCAGCACAAGTGTATAATTCCAATACCGCATTTTTAAATGTATGATCAAATACTTAGTCTTTTAAAAGTGCATACAGTAGGTTCAGTTAGATTAACAGGATAACATCTATAGAATTACATTTGGATGGTTGAGTTTTTAAATGTGATTGAACTATACTTAATATCTGACTTAACATTTAACATATCTTGTCATGTATTCTTATGTTTTCCCATGCCCACAGCTCATCATAGCCTTGAAGAGAAATGCTCCTCACTTCCTGTGAGATCAGGGCCTCAAACCAGCATTGAAATCCCACTGCATCACCCACAACTTTAGTCGAAGGGATACCTTCTTACCTGACTGTAGCTCATTTTTGCACTCCAGGCAGCACAAGCAAGGTAAAGCCAACGATACAACAATGAGGACTCTGCAGTAAAGGTAACCGAGCAGGCAAGAAGCTAGGGTCCTAATTAAAGTTGTTCACTCCCTGGGTGCTCCCTATTGTCCCCAGTGAACACAATAGCTCACCTGCACACACTCCACGTACAGTACAAGCAAATCAGCCGAGTAGCACTAATACCAGCCTCACATTTCTGTTTTGCTCTTTTTAAAGCTTAAAGAGCAGAAGGACAAGCAGCAGTTTTCTCATTTGTTCCATTCACAAGCCACTTCACTACTTCGGCTAATTACAGTATACTGTTTTTTTTTTTCCCAGTAGTCACTCTATCTACAATCAGTCAGTGGAGTGCTTGTGTTTTCTTTTATGTAGACCCAAAGTTACCCCAGCCAGGTTTATGAAATGTAAACTAGTGTTCAGGCCAGAGCTGTGACCTCAGTCAGTGGAGATCTTGTTGCTTGTTAATGAACACAAGTTGCTATGGTTTCTAAAGCTCTGAAAATATTTAACAGGTGACTAGCCTAGCTCCTTATTTGCTTAGAAACTGAGAGAAGGTAGGATAGCAAGGGTTTAAATATTCTGTGTATATTGGTGATTTATATAGTTTAATAAACATTTTTAATAACTTGGCAAAGACCGCATTATTGCAATATTGGTACACGTACTGAGTCTGATCATGGTAAAGAGAAACGTTTTGAATACTTTGGACTTCACTACTTTGTGTGAACGCTCCACTCCACCAGTATCATATATTTAGGCGATTTTGTGATGCGACAGAGGACGGTTTGGACACCTTTTGAGGAAAAAAATTCAGGTTCAGGCAAACTGTAGGAGAAGAGAATAAAATGTCGCCAAGTAAGAATACACAGTTCATGGGTTCACTAACTTACTTCTATCTGAAGTGAAAAAGAAATATGATGTTTGCTTAAAACAATGTATGAATTATGCATCCGTCAACATGAAAATGCTGTACCAAGAACTCTGTAATAGCAGCGATCATGTCCGGGTTTAACTCCAGCACTGAGCGACGTGGACGAGTCGTATTTTTCAAGCCTCGACAACCGTTTGCATACAGAAAGTATGTTAAAACTAGGAGCCGAATGGGTGCTAACCCCGCGTCCTTGGTCGTAGAATCACTCGACTGGAGCTCTGGCTGGTACCTCGGCAATACAGAGGCGTGACGTATGCTCTGTGTTTAAGAACAACGCAACATATGTAGCTTAAGACCCAAATAGGGGGTTGGTTTATTCAGATATCAGGAAAAGATAGTACTAACCAGCATAAAAGAATAAAAGAATCAACGAAACACAAGTATCAGATTTCATGTCGAAACTCGCTCAAGTCTGTTTTGTCACCATTCCTCGTTAGAATTAAGTGTATCATCACCCTTAGCTTTTCTTTTTCAATTTCACACCTTTTCATTAAGAAAAATAATTATCGCGGATATTTTTTTAACTGCAGCGCACTGAACCCCTTTCAAAGACAATTAATTTAAATAACCACGACAGCAATATAACCTTACAAATATACAAATATTACGACACATCGCAAAATATCCGTGTGTAGTAATGGAAAACGTAACTTTTCCTGCACATTCACCATTGCAGTTTTTTTTTTTAAATTAAGAAACTTCGTCTCATTAAACATGAACTTACCTAGAATATAACAGGGTGTGCTGTTACTATTTCTGAACCTTTCCAGTTGAAGGTGTAGAAACGGCACGTTTCAATAATTAAAAAGAACCTCGCGTAACTCTACGCCCGGCTTTCAAAGGGAGACGATGAAAAAACGTGAAACAAAGCTAGTAATTAAAACGCACAGCTCGGATTGTCGTTTCGATATCTCGAAAGGACATCCTGCGAGAATGAGGGAATACAGGCAGAAGCCAAGCTAACAGTTACCCGGGTAACACCGGCGGCGCTTCGCTACTGCCGCTGGGACTGGCACCGCGTCTGTGGTTAATGAGTAAATAAAAAGAAACTCTAGAAACGTAACAGTAACATTAGGCAGATTCATGGTTAGATATATACAGCAAAATTGCAACCGCTTGTACACCGACAGCAAACTGTCTGTGCAGACTGAACTTCCATAACATTCCGCAAAAAAAAAAAAGAAACTGGACTTTTTTATTCCATCTCCCCGGAGACGAGGAGGAAAAGGACACAGCCTCCCCGTCGGGGAATCGAACCCCGGTCTCCCGCGTGACAGGCGGGGATACTCACCACTATACTAACGAGGAGTACTGACGAGCTGCGAGGAAATGGAGGCCTAAGACGAACCCTGAAGCAACACGCGCGTTCGCTGGGGCTTTGAAGCTCTTCTATTATCACCCACTGATACCATGCAGACCGGCTCGTTGGTCTAGGGGTATGATTCTCGCTTTGGGTGCGAGAGGTCCCGGGTTCAAATCCCGGACGAGCCCTGCTTTTCTTTTCCTCAGTTTGATTTTGTACAGGATCTTGTTAAAAGAGCGATCACTTACGGAGAGCCGACAATGTTTTAACCTCAGAAAAACGTACCTTATCGTTTTATTTTCCAACGTATACAATATGTATATATAATACCGTATGCGTTCCGTTTACAACTGTAACATCTTTTAAAATCGAAATGTTTTGTCCAACACTTATATATCGATATATCGACGGTGTTTGCATTTTTTTGTCTGTGTATTTCAATACACTATTGATTTAACTTTGGAAACGGAAAATAAAGCAGGGCCTCTCAGGACCTCTTCTGTGCCCTCAGAGGTTAGTCAATTGCCGAAATCAGAAATGTATTCAACCCCACGTTTGAAAGCTAAGAAGAAAACGTGCACATTTCTTCCTATAAGTAAAAGTTTTTTTTAAGGTTTTCTTGTGGTTAGATTGCAAATTAACATGAAATGCAGGGTAAAAAGACCTGGCCCGTACGGGGATCGAACCCGCGACCTTGGCGTTATTAGCACCACGCTCTAACCAACTGAGCTAACCGGCCGACGTATGTTGGTGGCATTCTGAATGGAAACTGTTTTGTAAACGAATATTAACATTCGGAAATTTGCGTCAAGCTAAAAAATTAACTCATCAATGGATCCAATTAATAGTGTAATTATCAGAAGGGGTTAAAAACGGGATGCGCTATGACCTGGAGCTCTGAAAACAGTCACCCTCTAAAACACAGTCCTGTACCTCGATAGTTTTGAATAACCTTAGAATTACCCAGCCCATACAAAAATACAATCAGATCTTCGGCACCATCTATCGTACAATGACACACATTGCAGTCAATTAAATTAACAACAATGACAGAATAATATAACGTGTACTTAACTGAATTAACGATGCACGTTACCCACGATATTCTCCAATAACACAACCACCTGTCGCCAGAACCTTTGATTGAGCAGAAGAGTATTAATCTCATTTAAAATTAAAAGGTTTGGTAAACGTTCAATAATTGTATACACTTACCTACACGAATACATACAAATACAAAAACACTTAAATGTACTATAAAGCGAAATGTTTGTTTGTTCAAGGCATTTTATTATCAACAAGAAATACACGAAAAAGCACTCGTTTTTCACAAGGTCCTTTCTCAGGCGTTCAGCATAGAGTGCAAATCCTGCCAGCTCCCCTCTAATGAATACAATAGGTGATAAGGATATGTGAAGTAAAAATGGACGTTTAATTTGTCATTAGTACTCCATCTACTGCTGCCTGCCTTCATGAGAAGCAGAACTCATCCAGAGGGCACCTCACGAAGAGGAATGTCAAGTGCTTAAAAGGCCAGCACACTTTGGCCAAGAAGGGGTTGGTTACCCAGGGTTCCCTCTTTTCTCTGTGCAGTAGCGACTCTAGAGCAGGGTCCCCCAGTCTTTCTCCCCTTGAGCCCAGCTGGGTTCAGTCCAGGCATACTTTCACTTGCTAAGCTGGAGCCTTGAATAATTAGACCTTTTGAAACATTTTCCGCTCCTAACACGCCGAACATTTAAGGAGACTTTTGATTTTCATTAGATTTTTCAAGCTGAAAAAACAAAACAAAACAATTAATAATAAGTAAGACGCGAGTTGTGGATTTAGTTAAATGAGGTGCTCCCCTGGAACAAACACACACAGGTACCAGGGACACAAGGAACTGATTGAGAAGGTCAGTCCTCAAACGCCTTGCCAGGCGCCTTTGAGTTTGCAGTTTCACCAGTGAGAACTAAATCAGATAGCTATATGAGATGACTAACAACGCTAACGACCCCATTCCAAAACTCTTAACAAGATTACTGAAGCTGTATATCCGGTGGCTGTTCACATCATTTGATTACAGGAAATGGCTTTCTAGGGTGCACGTCATGATTAGGTTTAGTTATCTAAGGATACGGTGAATAAGATACACTGTTAATGGGGAAAAAGCTATAGACCAAAAGCATGAATAGGTCAGCATACAAAACACTAATGTGGATCCACCAGATATGATCAGCCCAGAGCCCAGAGCCTCTGAGGACTTGTTCTGCAGTCCCAAGAGACTGTGGAGAACAGAAAATACCTCACATTTCCCCTGTAGGAAGCTAAGTAATCACTATCTATTCAAACACAGGATTACAGACAATCGCATAACTGTCAAGAAAAGGAGCTGTGGGAGTAGAGCTGGGCATGGAATCAGCCTCAACAACCGTATTTGTACACCGGTTTCTGTGCCAGGCATCTCAGAGCACTTGAAATATATGAGGGGATCCACTTCATTCAGCACAGTGAAGTGCAGCACACAGCTGGCAGCCAGAAACCCTGGGACAACTGATCAGATGGAGAAATGAGAAATGAACCACCTCGCCTCTTCAATTAACGGTCAAATTTAGGTCGTCCTGATTTTACAAGCCCAGGACACCCTTTTTTACACACTGTACATACTCTTGAAAAATAGCACCGTGGCATCTTTAATGAGTCAGGATTTGGGATTATAATGTTGCGTTAAAAAAACAGCATTTTTTAAAATGCAATACCCATTGTCATCATTTGAGAGCTCTGGCAGCTGGGGTGATGATGCAGAAAAACAATGTGTGTGTTTTTTTTCATTACATTGCTAAGTGAATTTGAAGGAAAACATGAGGGTCACTCGACAATAAACAGACCAATTGATTACGTGGCCTAGTTACAAACCTGGCTCTGGGGGCAGAAAGACACTCTGGAGATGAGTCCTGTACTCCTCGCTTCATCCACTGACAAGCATGAATAAACTCAAAACACAACATATAGTCTTACTGGTGATCACTCTTTTGCAATTCATGTGCAGAATACAAAAGTCAGATCATAAGCTAGACAAAGATTAAACTGTCAGGGTTCAGTAAAGATAAACAGCCTGGTGTATACATTTACACAGTATCAAACCTCAAATTTGTTTTCAGTGGGAAAAAACAAAGGAACACTTTTAAATAGCCTCGTACTTGAATACATATGTGAGTGTTCAAGACATCAAACACCTGTAATCGCGGTGCTGAGAAATTCGTTTTCCTCTGAGAACGTGGGGAGGGGACCAAAAGCATGACCCCGACGTGATTTGAACACGCAACCTTCTGATCTGGAGTCAGACGCGCTACCGTTGCGCCACGAGGTCTTTCCCAAGACGTGTTTTTTTCATTATAAGGAGCAGTGCCACGGTGGTATCATTCAGTTTAGGAAATGTATTTGTAAGCAGTGTCGACTGAAAGAGGGTTATAGCAAAGCCATTGCTGTGTGATGCTGAGATCAAAGTTTAATTAAAAACTAATGTCCCTTAAGGGCTCAACCTCTTTCTCGCCATTAGAAAAATTAACCGGTTTAGGGGGTTCCCCGGGTTGAAAAAAAAAATAGGAAGGCTATTTAATTGTGCAATTGAGCACTACAATTAGTGGCACATACATTCATTGAGACATGTCAGAATACTAGGAAAGAGGGAGTGCTATTCATGGTTGCTAATTATCTTCCGTGGGCAACACGAATAATCCCAAACAAGTTTTAGGCCGTGTCCCAATGTGCACACTTGCGTTTTTGCGCCCTTCACCTGCGTGTTCTCGCTCAAATCTGCGAGGGTTTAGGGTGTCAGATTTCTAAAATTGTGTCACAGGGGTGGCGACGAGCGTCCCCAATACAAATTACCCCCCAAATCTTTGCGGATTAGCGACGTTTCATGTTCTAGCCTACCCCAGCGAAGAGAAATTGGCATGGAGAATAAAACATTCACGTATTAGTAAACTTTTTTTTATAGTTTTAAAACATAAGATTTTATTGGGAAAAAAAAACAAAATTGAATTAGACTATATGACGTTTTGACGTGAAGCTTTTATTTCCACACATCATTTCGATTGAGGAATATTCGTTTACCTGCCTATTGTCGTACTGTCATTTTTGTGCAGAGATAGACTAGATGAAATGTATTTAGTAGTACAAAACTTTGCATAAACAGAGAGCGATACTGCCAAGTATTTCTTAGTTTACTGCGCCCGATTTGAGTCGAGGCTTCTCAACATGAATGAACACGATGTGTCACTACTTTTGTGCAGGGATAGACGAGACGACATTCATTTTAGTCAAACTGCGACCGGAGAATGAAAAATATATATTTTCCAATATATGTCAACATGCACTTAGCCGCTGGAAAAGAAGCATCGGCAACAGACAGCCGTGTGATCAGCGAGTGACGTCACACGAGGGTGTCCCATTACCCTGTTTATAACTATGCGCCCTCGAGTCCTCGCGCACTTACTTGCTCAACGTCACAGAAGTGCGGTCTTGAAGAACCTGAGCTGCATGTTCTATGTTTTCAACGGGATTTGAAATCTCAGCACCTTGAGGTTCCTGATGTTTTGGTCAGCGAATGTACAGCACAAACACTGCTGCGAGGAACTAATGGTTAGTATAGTTGACTTGATCCTCCGGGCCAACGTAATGTGTTTCTTCCTTTAACTAATGGAATAAGCATTTTGATCATATCGCAGAGCAATAAAGAAGTATGGCGCAAGTTATAAGAATATGGAATTACGAGTAATAAAGCCAGCAGTGAGCTGAAGAGATAAATAAAATGTTCTAACAGATTATACACACAGGACAATCTATGCCCATTTAATTTGAGGTAGGGATATACCAATGTTTTTTTTTTAAATATATATATAAATATGTAACAGAAGGCAAGAAAAACCTTTTAGGCACTTCCAAATATACTTTCAAATCTTTTCACCACTGGTATAGAAACAAAAACAAAAAAAAATGATTTCGATTAGACTATTATTTTTACTTACTCCACAAAATGAAATTGATCATTTTATATAAGTACAGTACATGGGTTTGAGTTAGTGGAAAAAAAAAACGTTGCTTATTTGTTTACAAAAAATGCTTATATTTTACACTACAGCTGTAAATACATTCTCTCATGTTGAAAGCAAATCATTAAACAGGTTATAAATCCTGAATTTGAACAAGCAGGATAATGCTAATGCCTGAACTAAAAGAACATGTTTATAAGGTGTTTTTAAAAGGGGAACTGCAATGCTCTTTTTATATTTCAGGGTTAAAAAGAATCAGCACTGATGAGTGCTTTTCAAACCAAAATAAAAGTAAAATGGACACAGTAACTTGTAAAACCTCCAATTTTTATATGACAAAATAGATTAAATTTCCAGTTATGTGCAGCACCATATTCCATAATTTCCGAAAGAGGCAACATCCCGTGAAATGAAGCGGCCCTATGACATTGTAAACAAGCATGCTCGTGAATACTGTTAATCCAGTAGGAATATTGTTCTTGACTTTGAGACGGTTTTGTCAACAGATACTATTTACTTGTTAACTCAGCAAGCAGATCACATGGGAACACTTCTGCGGTGAAATGTCTGCTGCACCGCATTGACTTACTTTATTTATCACATTACATTAGTCGTTACAGTTACTAGTGAGCAGGAAGGGGCGCTTAATGTCACAATTCTCGTGAACTCTCACTCTTGCTTGTGGGGAGACCAGGGCTTTGCGCCAACATTGTGATTTACAGTACTTTCACAAAGTTCACAATTTTGTACTAAATTTGAAATTCGTCATTTTTTTTTCTGTACCGTCAATGAATTTATTTTGTAAACAAGATTTAATAACAGGTCTGAGAACTTGGGACTGCAGTTCTCTTTCGACCTCACTCTCATTGATAGTTCAGATGCATGTTCTGAATATAGTGTTAGGCTTGAGTGTCACTGGATTCAACTGCAAACATAAAGAATTTAGTCTTGAGCCCCACACACCTGTTGTCTTATCGATATGGCTGGTTTCTTTTCTTCAGCCTCAACTGGATTCGTGGATATGTCTCCAGCCTTCCCTTTCTCGACAACTTGCACTGCCCGAAGCAAACTGTCCCTCAAAACGTGGTTTCGTACCACTTTCCTGATGAGCATTTCCACATCTTCTGAGTACTTCTCTCTCTGCCCGGCCTGGTAGTACTCGGCCTCGTAGCCCCGGGCAACGAAGAAGGCGCACAGCGCTTTTGCATCACGGCCACCCAGGCCCAGTTCTTCGAGCGTCGACTCCCACGCCACGTCAACCCGCCGGTTTTTGATTTTCCTTCGGAGGACGGACGCTAGGGTGGGAAGACCACTGACAAGATCTGGCAGTTTCCTAACCACCTGGGAGTGGCAGCAGCGCAGTGTTTCTATCACGTAGGAGAAGAAGAGATTGGTCTCAAAGCTTGTGAATCTGAAATAATAAGAACGTCCCTCAGCATAGAAGCACCATCCAAGTATTTCCCATTCATTTTTTAAAAGCAGCCCAATAATTTCTCTTAAAGCTTTAACACTTGCTAAATAAGAATGCTTTTCTTTTATTTCCTGCAATTTTTGAAGACAACCCTTATACTTTCGATTAGACCTCCGGCTGCACTGACAGCAAAAGCACTTGATTAGAAAATGATGTGGGACTTCACTTGCTTTCACTTGGATAAAAAGAAACTATGATAACTGATGCAGTACTTGAATGAGAATCATCACTTGGTGTATTTCCTAATTTAAGTGAAAGAATTAAATATTTCAGTTCAAAAGAAACAAACATTTTGTAATGAAGAAGTTCAAGAAGGTAGATGCATCAGCATGCATAGGCTGCAATGGAACAGGTAAAGGTTTATTCCATGCTGAAAGGAAAAGAAAAGAGACAACATTTCGGCTGTGGAGCCTTCGTCATGTGACAACAGACTTCAGCAAACTTCAAGCTTCAGCAAACTTTTTGTGATCAATCAATAAAAGTCTATTTTTAAACACTTTAGAAATAGAAGATGGATGACTATGAGATACCAGGTCTAATGATGGTTACGTCTTGCTGTAGTAAGTGGAGAGAGTTTAGCCTACCTGTCTTCCAACAATGAAGACCACACTTCATCGTGATCACACTGCTTGGCTAGAAGCTGCCTGTGCTCCTCCAGTCTCTCTGCCAGGACCTTTGCTGCCCCATCCAACTCATCAAATTGGGCATTTATTGCTTCTAATTTCTGCCCCAGTCTGGTACAGGACAAAAGAAAAACATCATGTTATGGCAGATTTCCAGTACAGAAATAACACATATGTAACACGGAACAGCTCTTGATTTTTACCATTCTAACATACAAAAGTATAGCTTTTCTGAACTTTAATGAAGCCTTATAATGATTTTGATTTAATATCTAAACAACAAACTATATGTATATGAATAAAACATTAGCCCTTTATAACAGCATTTTAATATAATCACATCTTTAAATATTTTTCAAGATCGTCTTTAGTTTCATGAAAAGCTATAACTTGTAGTATTATTGCTTCTACTGTAACTCCAAATGGTTCCAGAAATATCCTAACATCTTAAAAACATCACCTGTTCAGAGTTCCAGAGACCCTCCGTAGTGAAAGCCCTTCTGAAGACATCCTGTTTGTTTTTGAAAAGGTTAATCACATGGGCTAAAAGTCGAATCTCTGCAGAAGAATTCAATCATATTAAGACTAGAAGTTCAGATCAGCTCTATTTTATGTCATCAGATCTCTGTACAGATACGATGGACTGTGGGCTATTTTAAACACCAGTTAAAAAAGCAGGCAAGCATGTAGTGAACACTGATACCCACTGGCAACCATGTAGGTTAGCCGTGAAAACACATGATAAACAGTTACAGATACCTTCTTCTATCCAAAAGAAAAAAATAGAAATTGTTAAAAAAGTGTGTTGAATGTTTGTAACTAGCAAAAAGGTTTTCTAACCAAGTGGATGATGGCAGATATTGGTGGTCTAATTAAAAAAAGGCAGCTGCATATACAGTACATTATGCCCTTTTGAAATAACTTACATGGATATATTTGTTTTCCATACCAGAAAAAAATATTCTTCTTATCTGTAATGTTCTCTTAATATTATTAGGATTTAGTTACACCATTGTGATTATCTTACTCCTTATAGTTAGCTTCAGGTAATTTATTAAAATTTCAATTTTGATTATCCTAAAAATACAAAAAAATATCTGTATTTTAAAATGTTCTCTAGTCAATTCTAAACAGCTTCTAAATATTGTGTTTAAATTGCCAAGCACTGTGTTTGACCCTACACATGATGAATTTAGACCAAGCTGTAACTTTATACTGTGTGTGAGGTTTATGTGTTCATCTAAAAATAAAAAGGCTACTATAATTGTTGCTGGGAATCATTTCTCTTCTTGCTGTCAGAGCTAGTTAGGGAGCTTGTATTAATGATATTCATGTCTGTTTGATATGGAGGAATTTTGACAAGAGTTACCAGGTTACAGCTTAATAATTAGGTACAGTTTCACTATGTAAGCAGTGCAATATTATAAAAATACATAACCAATTGGCTTTTTGGCTAGAATCTTAAATATTGTGAAGTTACTGCCTCTTGTTTTATTTGTAGACTTTGAAGGTATTAGCTATCTAAAATTATTATTTATTATTGACTCTAAGCAATTTCAATTCAAACTCTATGCTCACCAGTTCTGTTCACACTTTATACAAATGATTGTACGAGCAGTAGTCAAAGCAACTTCATTTTCAAATTCTCAGATGATACAGGTGTACTTGGTTTAATGCATAGAGAAAGCAGTTAAGCTGTGTACATGTCAGAAATCCAAAGGTTTGTGCAATGGTGTGACAACAATAGTCTAATTTTGAATGTTAATAAAATAAAAGAAATAGTTTTAGATCCCAGAGCAGTTGGTGATCATTCACATGTAGTAATCCACAACGAACCTAAGTACTTAGGAGAACACATAGAAAGTAACCTGTGCTGGACTACTCATGTTGAGAGTGTTTGCTCCAAAGTTCAGCAGCGCTTATATTTCTTGCAAAGACAAAGAGTGTTTGGGGTTCGATAGGAAATAATCCTACTCCTTTACCATACTGTAATTATCAGATATGGTATAACAATGTAAGATAAGATCACTTTATTAGCCCTTTACAATTTCTTGCATTAGGAATTCATCTATTCACATACCCCAGCTTGCTCTCCATGAGACACAGGTGGGGAGAGAAGCTTGGGGTCAGAGCGCAGGGTCAGCCATTGTACAGCACCCCTGGAGCAGTTGGGGTTAAGGGCCTTGCCCAGGAGCCCAACAGAGTAGGATTCCTCTGCCAGCCACAGGATTTGAACCAGCAACCTTCCAGCCACAGGTGCAGATCCTTAGCCACAGTGCCACCGATCTGTGTGGGTTGGTAATTTATCAGGTCAATTAAGATCGTAAATTACCCGTCTCATCCAAAGGGCTTTGAAGGTCATGGGAGTGAAACAGCATCCCTCCCTGCAGACAATCTTTGAAAAAGCCATAATCAAACAGGCAGAAAAAAAATATCAGATCCTTCCCACATCCTCAATTCTGAATTCCAACTTCTTTCTTCTGGCAAACATTGTAGGGGTCCCAAATGTAAGTCAAACAGGTACAGTACATACATTCCTTTGTTCCACTATCCATTAAAGCTGTCAATGCAAATGGCAAGGATAAACACAATTTTTTACTTTTACAATCCACTTGTGTGCAATACGTTTTGTAATGTGTTATAAATGTTATGTTGTTATGTGTTATACATGTGCAGTGTTTGGATTTTTTTCTGCATTGTATTTATATCTACAGAAGTGCTGTTTGTCCACAACAAATTTTCCTCAGGGGACAATAAATCTTATCTTATAACAAGAAAATATAGGTATTTCTTCACATTGCTATCTATATTTTTTATGTCAGTCTGGACAATCAAAATCACAATCCCCCAATAGTAGATATATGACATGTTAGAACAGTGCAGTATTCTTATAAAACCAGTCATAGAAGACCTTGAAATATGTTCTTTTATTGTAATATCTGTTGGCAAGTGGCATGGTTTTACGGGGAAAGTTGTAGGCGTAGCTGAGTTCACTGCAATAAATGGCTGAAGTTGAGTGCTTATCCAGTAGGTGGCATGTTTTCCTTCAGATTATTTTACATCCAGCATCTGCTACCTCATTTCACTATAAGGACGGTGAATTGCATTATCATAGTGCTGTGCTTAGGGACTGTTCTGTGATGGTCGAAATAACATGGAAGTGTAAACATAACTGAATGTTTTGTACCTCAGAATATTTTCTGCTAGTAATTTATATTAAATTGCTACTTTAAGACTGGAGCGTAAATATTACAAATTCATAATTACAATATATTCATGCAGCAGCTGGCTTCCACCTGGTAGTGGAAAGAGATGACTGAGTAACCTGGGACTGAACTTCCCTCATCACTTTTAGGATTATCACATCAGACACAAGAAGGCTGACAGTATCATGCAGCAAAATATTGTGAAAGTAACAGGTACAGTATAAGTCTATATACAGCAGTCAGTTCCTGGGAAAGCGATATTCCTCAAAAACAGACTTTTTTAAAATGATCAAATATGCACGCATTCTAATTTCATTGTATGAGCCTAGCAGTCAGAAATGGAAATGTGGCCTGAAAGCAATTAATGTCTAGGTTGCTGGCAATCAGAAAGAAATCATTAGAAAATGGGTGGGAATAGTTTAAAGATATTCTCTTTTAAGCACAGAACAAATTAATCCCAAAAGCAAGCAAATGAAAGGTTTGGAAGTAATGACTTAAACAGTTTATTGAATTAAGTGAAATATAAGGAGAGAGACGAGCTTCTATGAAAGAACATCAAAATTACATGAAATGAATACAAAAAAATTGCAAGCAAAGATAAAAAAAATATTTCAAAAGAAGCTGAAGCCATGAAAAAGAACATTGCAATCAAGGTTAATATATATAATACATGTTATCTCATTTGGACTATAGCACAAAAAAAGTTAAGGATAAAAAAAAGCATTTCAGATCTAAAAATGAAAAGAATACACGATCACATCTGTCAAATATTGTCTGGATAAAAAGTCCTCAGAACAATTAAATACTGAAACCCAGTGGAGGTCTCCTCTCATTTGCAAAAATTCTTATGTTCTGTATTTAAAAGTATGAAGTACTTTATATCGTTTGTTCAGGATTAATTGACGTTTCAGCTTTTGTTTTCAGAATAAATAGAAAAGGACTCTTTAAATCACTACCTATAAATTGACACAGAACCAATATCCCACATTATGAACTTGCTATCCCTGTTCTAAATGGGCTCCTTCAACAAAAATACCTCTGAGCGCCAGAGATACAAGTGTCAACATTTATTTTCGCACAGCTGTGAGCTCGTTTATTTTAATGATAACTAGTGTTGGTGTCATTTGAAAATTATCTGTAAAATACAGAGGTGATTTTTTGTTTATCCACATTTGGATTTTTTTTTTTCATAATTGTGAATTACAGTAAACAATCTTAGTATCACAAAATTAAAATACTATTAAATAACTCTTGCTATACATAACTCTTTGGAATTAAGATTGCACTGAAATTCTTCCACAACATGTGTACATTGATCTGCCACATGCGGATTTGCTCAGCTTGTGCCTGGAGGCCTGTGGTGGAGCTGCTCTGAGTATTTTTCCATTTTCACTGTGAATCTCACAAGAACTACTGGATTCTATTGAGGTCTGTAGGAGCACCTTGGTGCCTCCCACGTCTTTCTTTGGATGAGCAAGAGAGAGAAAGTCACGTGCTTTAGCCACTCTTGTCAACAGAAATGACCTGTTTCAAGCATGGATCTCCAAAGGAACAAAAAGAAGGAGGAAGAAAAGGAGGGCCTGTGTCTGAAATCGATCATCAGCATTGTGATCCCTGAAAGAACTCATTTTAAAAGACTGAGAAGCACTGTGGTTAGCTCTGTTGGAAGAGTATGAGTTTAATAATCTCAGGGCAGTGGGTTTGTGTCCCAGGTCAGGCGCCAGGTCCTCCATGTTGGAGGCTGGGCACAAGGCTAGCAACTCTGTCCTGTAAAAAAATGTTGCTGCCCCTACATGCTGGAAGGCATAACAGGAGAACATCCATCCATACAAAAGACTAGGACTCTGCTAATGAAGAAATGTCTATATCTGATTTTATAACTAGGCAACTGGAACTGCTAAAAAAGAAGAGTTACTGTGCTCCAAAAAGCTAAGCCTTGCTTAGCATTGGAGATCTGAACATTTTAAGTTACAAGGTGTTGAGGTGGTTTGTTGGTTAGAAGTATATGTGGGATAGTCAGGTGGAAAAATTGCCCATTACTCCTATAATACCTTCACTGTAGAGGGAAGTAACAGGAAATAAGAGACAGGTGGGGTGTCTGCTAATTGTGGACTGTCCAGAAACTGTGAAAGGGTTTTTGTAATGGGCCAATTGAGCAACACGCACCTTCTAGAAGTCAGACTATATTAAACTGCTAAAAAAGCTCCAGGCAAATTTATTAACCAGATCCCCAATATTCCTAAAAATAGAAACACTGTCTTCATTCTGACCTCCTTACTGGCTCCTGAAATTCTTTCAAGACAACTTTATGTTAAAGCATTTGCATTTGTCCTCATATATGAATTCCCTGGTACTCTTATTTTTTGCTTTATGAGTTATTTAATTCAAGTTGTATTATTGATTTAGGGTGGGTATACCCTTTCAGAATACCATATCTTAGATTACTGCTTTTCAGCCTGGGGCTCCAGTGGGAGAAAATTTGGTTTAATGCAGAAGAACATCATTACTCAAAAGCAACTTAATCTCCTCTGCAGAGAGGGTTCTCTGCAGAGATAATTGATTAGATAACTCAGACTTTAATCTTTTGCTGGGGAACAAAGATTCACTGCTTCGTACCTAACTTTGTTGTTTATTTCACATGA